AAAAAAAAAAAATTGTAGACTTTATACATGCATTTTTTAATACCAAAAATTTATAAATGACTATACTGTTACCACAAAAATCTATTGTAATTTACCAGGTTTCCTAATTATGCTGTATTTTGGGTCTAAAAAAATCTAATTTCTGCTTGCAATGTAGTATTGATCATAGTATTTCAAACTCATCAACAATATACGAGCTTCTCTCTCATAAGTAACTTAGAAAGACTAACAGAATTACATAGAGGAAATGTAGAGCTTTCAATTGGTTATAAACTTATAGGTATAAAAAAGCAGACATAAATAAACAATTCTTCTTAAATGATGAAGTGGTGTGCAGAGCCAATATGGTGGATTCGATGAATATTATATCTTGGCAAATAGAAAGGTAGAGGAGGTTCTTGTTTTATATTATAACTTGTCAATATTGGAAATTTGAGTTTATAATTCGTATGAAACTATAGATGTTGTATTGTTGGCATCATAAAATGTAATCTGACCAAACCCACAAGATGACATATCAGTGTGACACACAAATCGATATTTAGCCATTTTTTTTATATTTACTTTCAAATTAAGAAATTAACTGATGTATAATACTAAAATATGAATTAAAATCTTCAATTAGATACAAAGTTCATTGATATACATTCATAAAATAGTAGTTCAATAAAATTTTGAATGTAAGTCTACAAACGTGATGACATACCCTCTGACCCCTAGCTACCTACATTGATAGGGTTAAACTAGGTTTTGGTAGTGTTACATATATCATGGATTATGACATCACCTGTTTATGGGCTTTGATACTATACTACTGGTTTTACATGTTTTAGGTTGGTTCTGTGCTGGACAGTCTGGATCGAGAATACAGGCGAGATGAGGACTGGTGTGGAGGGAGTAGTGGAACACCAGGAAGTGAGGAGGGAGATCAGGACAGTCAGGATCGAGTATCTCTGGTGTCACAGTACCTAACAAAACATCAGGAACAAAAAGAGAGGTTTCTTCGTGCTTGTACTCATGCCCGTCGGACTGCAGAGACATTCCTTAAGTATGCAGCACGCTGTGCCCAGTATTACTCTACTAGCAGTGATGCAAATCTAAGAGGACCTGAAAACAAAGTCAAAGGTTAGGCTTCCTATAACCATTAATGTTTTTATTAAAAGACCCATAAAGTGGCTTTTGGGTATGTGTAAGTATGTGGTGATTCTGTGGGTTACAGCATTCAAATCTTTGTAGCATAAACTAAAATTTGAACCTTATGACAGAGAGTGCATCAGACTAAAATTTATATTCGGTTTTTAATGTGTACTAGACCTTATGTTGTAGTTTCCAAACTGAAAGTTACTGTTTAGGATCATTTTTTTTCAAAGGAATTTTATTACAGTTCTATTAAACTCATGAATATTTAGTTGTTTGAAGTATAACCTTTTACCAGCTATGTTTATGCTTTAATAAATGTTTATTTCTTTGCTGTTTCTCACACTCTTATAATGTGTTTATTCTCATTCTCAGGAATCATGGATCAAGTGATGAAACAAGAAAATAGAGTTCTTGAATATTGGACTACCAGAAAGAAACGTTTAGATCAGTGTCAGCAGTATGTATTATTTGAGACGAGTGCTAGACAGGTACTTAAAATATTTTACAGAAATATGCAGATTTTTAGGTTTTTTTCCTAAATTAAAATTGATGAATGTAGTAATGCTTGGAGATGGCTTGAATGGGTAATGAAGAAAAACTTTAATATAAGTTTAACCTAACAGCAAATGTAGAACATTTCTTTGTTTAAAAGTACTGTGTTTTTAATAGATATACTCTGGTTTTTCGAGTTGCTATAATAGAAAACATGGAACAGTTTTTTATTGTGTTTTGTGAATCTGGTTTCCAATTTTCTTCCTGTTTCTCCGATGTAGAATTCTGGGCAGTTATTGCATGTTATTTTGTAAATGATGTTGGTATTGTGTGATTCTAAATCATTATTGTTTAGTAACGTTTTTAATTTAGTGCCGGGTTTTTAATATAATTTTACGTTGACAGGATCTTTGTGTTTAACGGCTAGTTTTGTCCAATTGTGGATAATTCTTGAGCTTATTTCAGGGAGAAAAGGTAAATTGTAATGTAATGTTCCATTGTTGGATTTGT